AATGTGTAAGCGGACTACTTAAATTAGGCACCAAAAGTGCACATGTGGCTAGTTGTAACCTCCAATGTAAGGTGAGCACCTGGTAACATGCTATGTCCTAATATACTTAAATAAAAACATCACAACTCCCAAGATAAGAACTTTAACTTAAAAAAAAAAAAATAATAATAATATCTTAATACCAGATGATAGTAGAACAGAAGTAACTAATAATATATATTGTACAAAAAATTATTAGATAGTAGTATTGCATAATGGCTAAAAAGTTTATTAATACGTATATTGTCAAAATAAATTGTATTCAATCAAAACCAATAAAATATATTTGAAAAAACATACTATATTATATTTTGATTCTCTATTATATGCAACTCAAGAAGGTATTCTTAGATCTATCACAAAAAAGAACATGGATAATATAATAGTTGACTTTGTTGTTAGTACAAAAATATCTTTTAATATTCTTAATAATTTACTAATTTATATAATGGCTAAAAAACTTTATTATATAACTTATTCATATAAAATTTTATATTTAACAACTATATCCTAATATATTCTTGGAAATATATTTAAGATAAGATTTGAGTTTATAAAGAAAATTTTAGCAAAAACTTTAGAACAAATTTCATTAAAATGTAATAGATGATACTCAATTATTCATAAGTATCATTATGTTATTGTTACAGAATCATGAATAAATAATGATTGGCATAATAACCAATATTATTTTAAGTTTTTAAAAGTTAAATCAGATAGCAAAAGATATAAAATCAAATATAATAAAAACATTAGAAGAATATAATATTAAAGAAAAGTTATTTGCACTTACAATAGACAATACAACTACAAATAAAGCTATAAGTTAAATACTTTAGTATAAGTTGTTTAATATAAATATTATATCAATAAGATGTATATACTTAATTTTATTGTTAAAACAAGATTGGCTAAAATAAGTTAGTTTCAAAAAAAGATATATAAGATTATAAAATATTTGGTAAATCCTTTAGCAAGTAGTTGATTAGAATTATTAGAATTACATTATCATATTGTTGGAATAAATTTTTTGTATCCAATTCTTAAAGTTGATATACATTGAAATTTATTATTAGCTATGTTTAAAAGATATATTTATTTATATTCAGTAATTTGTAATATGTGTTTGAATGAATTAACAATGTCTTCTTGTTTAGAAATTGAAGAATTAATAGTACTTGAATTTGTTTATCAGCTTTTTGAACTATTTGAAACTGTTATATTAGTTCTTTCTAAAAACTGGACTAATTTAATATCAGATATTATAAGAGTAATACTAAAAATTTCATAACATATTAATAAAACTAAAAAAATAATAATACAATTTATTTAATAGTAAAAAAGTTTGAAAAATATTAGAGCATAATAAATGATCATGTTTTAATTGCACATGTACTTGATCTATGTTATAAATTCAATCATTTAAGAGCAACTTTAATTAAGGTTAATAAATATAGTGATGATGCTGCAGAACAGTTTATTAATGATATTTGACAAAAAATTATCTTATATGAAATGAAATACACAGATGTACAATCAACTTTAGCTATTAAAATTAATAATTCTATATCTAATTTATTATTTTCTAAAAGGTGAATTTCAAAAAAAAATTGTTATAAAACTAATATAATTGGATATAAGTTAGTATTATATAAAAGAAAATCTTCTAAAAAGTTTGGAAATAATAATAAAGAAATAGAGAGTAATGAAATTTTATATTAGAAATCATTATCAAAAAGATTTCTAATTCTTAGTAAAATAGTACACAATTATCTTGTCATTCAATCTTCAAGTGTTGCTAGTAAAAGAGTATTCTTACAAGCTGGATTTACAGTCATTAGTGATAGAGCCAATCTTAGTGAACAAATTGTTGCTTCCACAATACTTATGCATTCATGAATTATAGAAAGTCAAAATGAATTAAACCCTCTTATTGCTCTTCTAGAACCAAAATAATTCTTTTTATTTTCGTATTTTAAATAAATTTAAATTACATTATATTTAGAATATTGGACATATTTTGCATATTTTGTATATTTTGCATATTTATACTAAATGCGATAAAACAAATAATTGAATATTTATTCTAATTTCAAAAAATATATAAATAAAAGTTTTTTGTTTATATAAAAGTAAGACCTTCGGGTTTCTACAAAACTTTCAAATAAATAAATATGCATTAACAAAGTTTGCTGTTCTAGGTACTAGTGACAGGCACGTGCTTGGTACGAGTGCAAGTGCCTATATGGTGCCGGTGCCTAAAAAATGCTTGGCATTTTTAAACTAGGAACGAAATGTCTATGACTATGCCTGAGCCTATGCTCTAAGTTTTTTTGTATTGGGTACGGGCATGTGCCGGGCATGCAGATCCCTACTGCAGATCTATAATGTCTATAATGATTGATTATACTATATGGGTTCTACCATAAAATCCCGACATCTAAAATCTCTCAATTTGGTATGGCAGTTATTGTGGTCTTTTTTTAATATTCGGTATTTATTAAAGAAGGATCTCATATAGTATAGCCAATCAAAATCGTGGATCTGCAATGAGTGGCGGCTTTTTTGGCTATCACGTGACAGGACATTTTTGATGACAATAATAGATATACAAATATTGACCAATCATCATACGAGATCCGATTGATGTTACTATCGTTATTTTCTTTTAATGTTAGTAAGTTGTAAACGTTTATTTCAAACCGTCCAACCAACAGCTGCAGTACGCGTTCGTTTCGCACCCAGTCCAACTGGATATCTCCATCTTGGAGGCTTAAGAACGGCTTTGTTTAATTATTTATTAGCACGGAAAACTGGAGGTGCTTTTATTTTGAGAATAGAAGATACAGATAGGGTAATATCAGTTTGGAAATCATTTTTATCCTAACATAGATTATTAAACGATTTGTATAATGTTAATAGGAACGCTATGTTCCTGGATCTGTGGAACGGTTGATTTCTATATTGTCGTGGTCCGGCCTAACTTTTGATGAAGGTGCGCAAAGATATGTGGATTTTTCATGTTTGAATCATTTGTTCAGGTCTTTTTGTATGTTCATAAAGGACCTGGGAAAAACGGATCTCATGACTCATATTATCAGGTATGAAATTCAGAAGTTTGTATGTATTATCGCGCAATTTGGATGATACTAAATAAGTCACAAATGCTGTTTCTAGTCCGAACGAACCGATATATATAGATATCACGTGAATAAACTAATTAAAGTAAGAACCAGCGGTCGACCGGACGTAAAAAAATCAAACAATTATAAAGCTACACAAATAAATAAAACAAATAATTCATGTTCTAGGAGGGAAACGCATATAGGTGCTTTTGTACTTCAGAGAGGCTCAAGCAAATTCGGTCACTTGCCCAAAAGGCAGGTAAAGGCGTTGCGTACGATCGCCATTGCCTATATTTGAGCCAAAGAGAGGTTGACCAAAAATTGGCACAGGGAGTTCCTCATACTGTTCGACTCAAGGTATTTTTCTTATCTCTTTCACTCTTCAAATTTTGTACTTCAGTAACAGATCATGTATTGATTAATAAGACACCGGATGGTGTTGTAACTGTAAAAGACCTGATATATGGTAACATTATATTCAACGATAAACATATCGATGATACTATTTTATTGAAAAGTGATGGGTATCCAACTTATCATTTGGCGAATGTCGTTGATGATCATTTGATGGGAATCACACATGTATTACGCGGTGAGGTAATCTATATTACGTAATTTTTTAGTCTATATACCAACGTTTTACAAATTTATGTCACAAAGCCGGTGTCGATTTTGATAGGAGTGGCTATCTTCGACGCCTAAACATACTGTTCTCTATAAAGCATTAGGGTGGAACTTACCTGAATTTGTACATTTGCCTCTGTTGTTTAATCCGGATAGAACAAAGCTATCGAAACGATCTGGTGATATTAATGTTGAGGTGCTTGCGGTATTATAACCTTCCTTTTTTAGATAAATCTGACTTTAGGATATATGTAAAATATATTAATTCAACTCTTGCTCCTTATAGCAAAGGGGTTATTTACCTGAAGCGTTAATAAATTTTGTTGCGTTGCTAGGATGGAGCTCTCCTAATGGAAAAAGGGACGAAATATTTACTTTGGATGAATTGATATCCGAGGTTTACAATTTTACGATAGCATATTTTTTGGTGCATTTGTAGAGATGAATTAACGATCCGTTTGAATTTCCAAAGTTTTCGTTAGAACATATTGGCAAGTCAGGCGCCATCGTAACGCGTGAGAAACTTGACTGGCTGAATAAACAACATTTGATTCGTAAATGCGAATCTCCAAGTGGATTAGCAGAGCTTGTTTCATCATTAAAAACATTGGTATATGAACAATTTGGCGAACAGTAAGATAATTTGCTATCATAAAATTTTTTTTAGAGTTATCTATTGATTTTTGAAGTTTAGGTTTAATGAATCCGATAAGAAATACAAACTTGGAGATGTATATCTTTCCGAGGTTATTATGACAATTAAAGTAAGAAATGTAACTTCGTTAGTCACTGTTTTAAAAATGGATAAATTTTTTTTAATATCCTGTTGTCTCATGTATACTTGCTTTAACCAGTAGCCAAAATTTATTAATATGTTTAAAATATTCATAGAAAATTTTTTGCTACAGATGATTTTAAGCAAGTATCTGAAGTTGCGATTTATCTGGAGCCACCACTTTAGATACCCAAAGTAGCATCAGACTAGAATTAAGCCTCTGAAATTAGATTGCTACTTTAGATATCTAAAGTGGCAACTTCAGATGCGACATATATGCATGGTATTAAATTTTTTTTAAGTTTCAACCATTTTGAAAAACAGTAATAATATTAATTTAAAAAATGTATTCGTTGCAGCCTAGCCAACAACATTTGTTTGAATTTATGTTACACAAAACAATCTATTTATTCTGTTATTAAATGATATTTTTAGGATCGAATACAAAATATAAAAGATATACCAGAATTATGTGGATATTTTTTTGTTCACCCTGATTATTATTCTCCAGAATCAAGAGTTACTAGATCAAATATTCACGACAATGATTTAAGTTAGTGAAAAAATTTCTTATTTTACTTTTTTATAGTTTGTTCTATAAACTAATATTTATATTTAAATTTTTAGAATTAATAGCTACAGTTGCCTTAGAGCAGATCAATCTTCTTAATCAAGCTGAATTTGAAGTTGATACTATTAAATCTGTTATTAATAATATTATTTCAATTAGTCAGCTTAATCGAAATCAAGTTCTGATGGCTTTGAGATATATTATAACTGGAGTTAAGGTTAATATTTTTATATTTTTAATTATTTATTAAATATTGATTAATTTTTTTCTAAAAAAAGATTGGAGCAGGTGTTGCGAAAACTATAAAAACTATTGGAAAAGATACAACTTTGCAACGCATTAATAAGGTTATGGAGCTAGTAAATTAGATTAAACCTTTGTTACAAAAGTATAATAAATTGTTTTTGAACTTAATAACAATTTTATAATTAGTAATCGTTGTGAATTATAATAAAATCAAATTTTAGTTTTATTTGATTTTTTAATATTAATACTTGTTTATTATTATTATTATTTTAATTATTAAGGTCGATGTTAACGGCGGCTAATGCCTTTATTTGTGTTTTTAGTTAATACATTACATATTACTTGTACAGGGTAAGCATACAACTAGTTATACGTGTAACTTTTGGTTATCTATTTAAGTAGTCTGCCTGAAGGTTTTACATTAGCTACTATGCTTATAATCTACTAGGAGTCTATCTAATTAATTACTCGGGTTCTTATATTGCATCTAAGCGATTAGTTACTTCGGTTTTTGTACAACTAAGTGTTGTTTAATTCAACATTAAGTTTTCTTTTTTGTATGTCTGTTAAGCTGTTATCTAATTTTAGAATAGGTGATTTAATTGTAGAACTTAAAGAGTTTTTCTGTTAATTAACCTATCTACTCTATGAATTATTAATAGGATTTGTTTTTGCAAAGTTCATTTAGATCTTAGTATTTACTTTATAGTATATTCTTAGTATTTTTAGTATACTTTTGTTTTTTTTTTAAATTCTTAATTCAGGTAGTTCAGTAAGATTATAATTAGTTTATTGGTATATCAGGTTAGTTTGATATTTATTTTTTTTGATTTTCTTAGTTAAAATTTCAACGATCTGGTTGGTAATATTTTTTATTTAAAGGTTTTTGCCTATTTAGATATTTTATATTGATATTTATTTTTTAGATTTAGTTTTTATAGTATTATTATTAAAGATTTGTATTATCTTTTTGTTTAGGTCTTTTTAAATAAGTTCTTTATTTTTTAATTTTTATAAATTTATACAATTATAAAAAATTATTTTAAGTTTATATTATCTGGTATTAGTTTGTATTTTTTTATATAATTAATTATACAAATGTTTTATAATTTATTAGTTATGCTAATGTAATTATAATTACAGATATCTTAATCCAATTATTAGAAACAGTTATTATAATATAAAATTATATAGATAATTATTTAAATTTTTACTATTAGTAAATTCTGAACTTACAATCTAATACTTAGAAGATTAATAACTTATTTATTTTATTAAGTTATTATATCTCTTACTTATTATTAATTTTTTTTTAATATTAAAGATGTGTATTTGCAATTTGAGATTTTATTAATAGTATATTTTTAGTTAATATAACTACAAAGGTAATTATAAAAAAAATATATAACTAGTTACTTATATAATTTTAATTATTGTTTAATTTAAGTAATTTGTTCAAAAGTTTTATATTAGATATTATATTTAAAACTTATTTGTAAGTTTTCTATTTAAACATTTTAGTTTTTGTATTCATTACTTACTTATTTTACTAACTGTTCTAATTAACATTAATGCAAATATGTTATAATTACAAAGTTTTTAAAGTAATTTATTTATATAAAGAATTTTTAATTTTGTATTAAACCTACTAAAGTCTTTTGTATTTTATATTTACAACTGATTTAATATTACTATAGTTAAAATTAATACTTATAGTTAATATTAACTATTAAACTATATATCTTTATAAAATTTATTTAATTCTAGTATTTATTTTTTTAATAGTTTTTTATTATTATTTTTTACTAACTATTATTTAGAATCAATAGGATTTTTTAGATTATTAATTTAGATGATCTAATATAATATATTTTTATATATTTTTCTTTTGATAAGTTTAGTAATTTAGTTGATAAATGTGTTTTTTTTATATATCTGTTATTTAGTTTATTTGTCTATTTTTTTAAGAGTAATTTAAAAGTTTTTGTTAATTCAACAGTATTATTAAAAGTTTATATTATTTCTTTATTTAAGAATTTTTAAATAGGTTTTTTTCTTTTCAGTTTTTTAGTTTTCTATGTTTGATTGTCTTATCATAAATTTGTATCAAAGTTTTATATAACACTAATTTTTTTTAATATTTCTCTATAATATATATATAATATTATATTTTATATAGATATCTTAAGTTTTTAATATCAAATAAAATTTAACTTGATAAAAGATTGAAATATATATTAAAATAAATTTAATTAAATATTATACAGTATTAAATAGTATATAATAATATTTTTTTTTTTTTAAATATTAATAGTGAGGCCTATAATATTTATTTTTTATTAATAAAAATTTTAAATTATTATAATTTTTTTAGAAATTTACTAATAATATTTTTTATTTTTTATTTTTTTAAATTAACATCTTTGCTTTTAGAAAATAATATTTTTATTCAAGTTTATAAAACATAGCTGCCTTTAAAAGTTTTTATATAAGAGATTATAACTAGTTATATATATATTTTTAATATTTAAATTTTTTTAATTTTAATATTTGTATTATAAATATATATATATATTCTTTTTCTTTTAAAATAAAAACCTCTTTAAACTAAATTATAATAATTTAATCTTTTTATTTAGCCAGTATTTAGCTATATTTAAAATATTTATTAAAGTTTGATAATTCTTTTCTTACTTTAATCTTGTATATTGATATTATATTTCATATACTGTATTATATTAATATATAACTATAATATTACTTGTAACTTTTTATTATTATTTAACTTTAATATATTAAAATCTTTTTTATTGTTTTAAGAAAAATTTCTACTTATCCTATATTAAAAAGAAATATTCATTTTCAAATTTCTTAACTAATTTTATAGTTTAAGATGAAGTGTTTAAGGATTTAAAGTTTATCAATATACAAATATAGTTATTAGTTTTTTTAAATTTATATATTAAAGAAGTAATCTAAAGAAAGAGCTTTATAAAAAAGATAACAAGTTATATCTTTTTTTCTATTTTCTATTAATCTTATAATTAATTATTATTTAATTAAGTTTTTCTTAAAGTTTACATTTACAGATCTTAAGTTTTTTTCAAAAAAAAATTTTACTAAGTTTTTTACTAAAATTTTTTTTTTTGCTATAAGATTTTTTATATATTAAGTTATTTTGTAAAGATGTTAATTGTTTCTTCTATTTTTTTTAAGTAAAACTATATAGTTTTTATTTTGTTAGTCAGATTGTAAACTTTATTGAAATTATTTTTAAAATTTATAAAACAGAAATACTTTATTTTTCTTTTATTATTTTATAATTTTTTTTTTAAAAAAAATTAGATTATAAGAAGTTTTCTGCTAAAAGCTTTTGCCAAACTGTTAGTAGTCTTATATCTAATATATTTTTTATAATTAGAGTTTTTGGCTTATTGGTCTAAAAAAAGCTAAAAAATTAAATAGCATTCTTGAGAATTTTTTTATTTATAAAATAATTAGTTTATTAATCTTTATAATTTGTTTTCTGTTAAATAATAGTAAATATATTATATATTATATTTTTAAAATAATTAGTTTTTTTAATTAAATCATTTTCATAAATTTAGATTAAAACTTATTTATACAATTTGTTAATTATTCTTTTAAACAAATATCCTATAAATTCAATATAAAGATATTAGTATTGTCTATATTAAAAGGTATAAAAATATTAATATTATTCTAATTTTAAGAATTTATATGTACAATCTTTCTATAATTATAACTTTTGTAATACTGCTATTATATATATTATTCACTTTACAATTGAATTTTCTTTTATAAATTTTTTATTCAAATTTGTATTTGCACTTGAATTTTTCTATAAAGCTTTATATCTAATTAATAGCTCTAATAGGTTGTAAAAAAATTGTCTTTAGTCTGTTTTAACTATTAATTTTATTTGTATAAAGTTTAAAACTTATCTGCTAAGTTATAAAATTTAAAATTTTTATTTTTTTATATATTTTTATTATAGTTTAGTTTTTTTATTATAACTAAAAACTTTTTTTAACTAGTTTTTTTTTTTATTAATTTAATTTTTATATTTTTTTTATCTTAATCTTTATATTAATTTGTTTTTTTTTTTTTATAATACAAATGCTTGTTTTTTTCTATATATTTTTATAAAAATTAGTTTTAAAAAAAAACCTTTTTCTGTTTATAATTGATTGAAAAAAATAAATATAATATTATAAATATAAAATTATTAAACAAAATCTAAACTCTAAAAATAAGATATTATCAAAAGCTAAAGCTCTTGTTCTAAGAAAAAAAATGCTTCCTTAACAAGTAAAGTTCTTAGTAACAGAAAAAAATTTTAAAATAAAAAAACTTGATGCAGAAAAAAAAAAACTAATAACTTAATTGCAAAAAAACAAAACAAAACAAAACTCAATAACATAACAACAGTTCAAAAAAAGAAAACAGTTACAAAAAATAATTTAGTACTAGTAGTAGTAATCCAAAACAAAAAAAACTAACTAAAGAATATTAACTAAAATAAAAACAATTATTGGACTTTAAAAAACATATATAATAATATAAATAAAATAAACAATAGAAAAAATAACAGAAACAGTCATATATTAAATATAAAACATAATAATATCATTAAAAATTAATTAAAACATAAGGTTATCAAAATTAAATATCAATTATTAAACAAAATACAAGTTTGTTTGCCAAGTTAAAATAAGAAAAATTAACTTTTGTTACTTTTTCTTTTAGAAATTAAATCAGATTTAAAATAATAATATATTAATTATCATATAAAAAAAAAAGTTTTAAAAAACTCTTTCTAATGATCATCTGAACCAAACTTTTCAAAAAGCTAAACTACAGAAAATGATATAGTTAATATATTAAACTTTATAAAGACCTTTCTGGAGACTGTACATGTATTGTTGGATATTAAAATAGAGTTGAAAAAGAGTTGCAGCCTTGTAGTAACAGTTTAAAGAACACTTTAGAACTATAGAAGAAGTAGTTGATAAAAGCCAAGATTTCTCATTAAGTAAACAACAAAGTTGAATATATTAGTTCTATACAACTGTAAAACCTACAAGGAAGTAGGTGTATA